TGGTGTCCTAGGGCTGCCTTCAACCCCTGTGACAGAGATGCTTAGGCAGTGTGAGATTCTGCCCCTGCCCCACTCAGTTTCTCAATCTGTAAATTGGGGACATTGTGCTTGTCTATCTTCAAGGGCCTTTCTAGCTGGGGCATTCTAGAATTCTAAGTGTAATTGCCCTCAGGAAGGTTTAGAGCTAGGGTGCAATTTCTGAATGGGATCAGTTAATCTTCAGTTGAAGAGAAAGTTTAAAACCATCTTGAGTCTTGTCTATCTTCCTGCCTCAGGCCCAGGGAGGGTCTAAACCAGGAGCCATAGTCAGAGATGCCTAAGGGGCCTGACAGGTGACATGGAAGACAGAAGTGGACCCTGTGTGAGAAAATGGTAGCACAGTGCCTAAGGCACTTGACTGCTAACCAGAAGGCTGGTGGTTCAAACCCACCAGCCACTCCTCAGAAGGAAGGTTGGGCAATCTACTTCCATAGTGATACTGCCTTGGCAACCTAAGGAGGGGTCTCTATGAGTTGGGGCCGACTCGACAGCACATAACAACAACAACAACAGCTCTTTGGTGAGTGGTTCCTAACAGTTAGCCTCAGTGCTAGGGAAGCAATAGGGAGTAGTGGGGTCTGGGGTGCATACCTCATAGCACCAGCTCCCGCCAGCTACTGCCTCAGCCCAACATTGCCTGACCTACTGATATTTCAGCCAAACCTCTGAATTCTTTGAAGGTTAGTCAAACCAAACACGTCTGTGAGCCAAATGCAGGCCGGCAGGAGTCAGACTACGATCTCCAGGCTCGACCCCGTGGGCCATTCTCTTGAACATCTCTAGGCTGAGGATTCTCAAAGCAGCATTCTGTTGTTCCGGCTGCCAGGAAGTTCTTGCTCACGTCCAACTAAAACCTCTCCTGCTTTAATTCTCTTTTGTTTTTGTGTGGGTGGAGAAGTGAGAATTAGCTCCTTATACAAATCTTTCAGAAATTGGACAAACAGCCTGGATGCAGAGGAAAGATAAGAGAATGGTCATCAGAAGACTTGCGGTCAAGTTGAGCTCTGTCCATTTCAGCTGTGTGACCTTGAGCAAGTCACTTCACCTCTCTGAGCCTTAGTTTTGTATTTGTCTCTCACACGTGCTCCTGTCTCTGCCTCTCCCTTTTGCCTCTGCCCAGCGGCTCACCATTTCTCACTCAAACCAAATGATGACAAGTACAGCTAAAGCTGCTTCTTACTGAGTACCTCTTCTGTGACAGATCCTATGCTATGCATTTCCATGCATTACTTTATATCTTTAACAATTCTACAGTATTTTTATTCCCATTTTACAGATCAAGAAACTGAGTCCAAGGCCTTACCTCTAGTTTGTAGGTGGTGTGGCCCTGCACACGTAACTAACTACCAGCTCTCCTACCTCCTTCCCAGGCTCCCCTTTGGCCATCACAGTGACCTTCTATCACATAAATCCACTTGTGATGTTCCCCTGCCCAACAACCTTCTATGGCTTGCCATTGCCTTAGCAACTGACTGGCCTGGGATTCACAGCCAGAAGTCTGCTCCCAGCTTAGCTTTCTTACTTCTTCTAACATGTTTAACATTCTAGCCCAGGGTTTCCAATCGTCCACATACCACACTCATGATAATTTTATTCTGTGTCCAGATATCCTAGTTTATTATTTACTTCATCTTTTTTATTATTTATTTAATGTTTGTCTTTCTGTCCATTCTTTTTAAGTAAATTTATTTGTATTTATTATCACAGGTTTGTGCTGTTTACAGCACTCTTTACTGATTGTGGTAGTTAAGGTTATGCGTCAACTTGGCAGGGCCTGGTTTTGAGCGGCTGGGCAGCTGGATGGAGTATTCCCCATGATAAGACTGGTAATCAACTCCATGATGGAATCTACTGGAGCAGCTGAGTAGCTGCCTTTGGGATGTGGTCTGCTTCCAGTGTATAAGGAAGCTTTGAGAAAGGTCTCTGAGTTTCCTGGCATATTTGGATCCCTGCATTTGGCCAAGTCATCAGTGAGTGGCCTGCCATGTTGTCTGTCCATCTGGGGACTGTTAATGGATTTGACTTGATGATTTTGGGACTGTACCATTTTACTTGTCCACCTTGGGTTTGTTAGCCCCAGCAGCCAGCAGCTGTCTGAGTTAAGAGAAACCTCCAGCTTCAGTGGGCTGGGAGCAAGAGGCAGAGTTGAAGCCTAAGGTCGAGGGGCCTTCACCCAGCCCCTAGAGCTGGCATTTTGAACTCAGACTTCTAGCCTCCTAAACTGTATGAGAATAAACCCCTGTTTGTTGAAGCCATCCACTTGCAGTATTTCTGTTAGAGTGACATTAGAGAACCAAACATTAATTAAGATGAAAAGCTGTAAAATAAAAATGTCCTTCTAAAGGGTGCCCAGCTGTAGGAAGAGAAGGTGCCCACACACCTCCGGCCTCTGCTCCACTGCACCTCTCCCCGGGTGAGGCAAGCTCTCACCCAACCCTCAGAGCCCTGCTCATCTGCTCCTCTTCTCCTAGGCTTTTCATGACACCCACACTTCCAGGCAAAGGGAGGGCCTCCCACTGCCCAACAGACAGCTTGGAGTTCTCCATGAATGGGGCTGTTACCCGCAGGGACTGCAAGCCTCCAGGTCAGGGACCAGGACTTACTCATCTCTACCCCTAGGTCTTCACATAGGGCCTGGCACACAGTAGGTGCTTTGGGAATGTTGAATGAACTGAATTGGACTCAAGCAGTTTTCCTCAAAGTATGGGATGAAATCACAGGTGTCTCACAAGATGATTTCGGGAGGACATGGACTTGATGTGAAACCACAATAAGAAAGTTACTCAAATCCTTTCCCAAGTCCTCCTGATTAGTCCAAGGAGAAAGCGTCAGTCTGATGCTGGTATATCTTAAAGACCTATCAGACCCTTAAGTCATGACTCCTTTTAACAAAGTAAAAAGAGTCCTTGGGCTGGAATCATCCAAGCCAACCTCCCTCAACCAGACTTACTAACATGGCTTTGTCTTCGTTATATATATTTTACAGTTCCCTTCTGATTTTTCATGGTCATGATATAAATTTTTCTACTGAAATATATTTTTACATTTATAAAGTAAGTTAATTTAAAGAAAAATATTGAGCAAATAATAATATACTTTACTATTTCCTTATAGTATTTTATCCAGTAAGTGGATAAGCAAAAGTTGTCATGATGGTACTGAAATGGAGCACTATTTAAACTCTAAGCCTTGTTGTCATAAGATGCTTTGACACTGGCCTGTCCCGGAACATTAGTCATTACTCAGATTGTCCCAAAGATAGATGTAAAATTACAACTGTGGTGAGTGTCATGAAAGAGAGGTATGTGGCATGCTATAGTAAGAGTCTGGGAATTCAAGGAAGAATTCTGGGTAAAGATTTGTGGGATGAATAAGAATTCATTAAGTGAAAATGTCCTGTCCAGTGGGAACAGCATGTACAAAGGCCCTGTGGCAGGAGGGAGCAAGAAACAAGAGGCTCTGGACCAAGGCCAGAGTGGCTGAAGCACAGAGGTGAGGCCAGAGAGGCGGGAGGGTGACAACCTGTAATATTTAAAGACAGAGATGGGAGGAACATTCATTCATTGTTCCCACTTGGGAAAGGGTGGCTCACCTGTCAAGAGAACCAGCCCAGTGCCTGACCCTTGATCTGAGGACTGCCCAGTGGGCCTGGGGTTTAGTGAGGGGGTTTCAGATCCTAAAATTAATAACTGGGTTAGGTCCTAAACACAAGTTCCACAAACACCAGTTAGTTTGGCTGTGGCAACTGAGTGCAGGCTCAGGACTCAGGCTGCCCTAATTCCCACTTCCTAACTGGGTGACCTGAGGCAACACTTAAAAAGTTTCAGGTCCCATCTGTTGGGTGGAGAGACCAGCAGCTCCATCCGCTCTTGGAGCCAGTGTGTCACGTGAGCTCCCACATATAACTCGCCCAGCAGTGGGCCTGGCCTATGGCGAGAGCAGAATAACCATCAGCTTGTGATCATTATTGTTAAGTGGCTCCAAGAGAAATGCATGTGTACGCCTGCCCTGCTGGTGTGTCGATTTAGGGGCCTGGTTTTGCAATATGTCTGTGGCATGTTTGCAGGTGTACGCACATATTTTAGCAGCATGACAAAGCAGGTGGACAAGGCACGTGTGTGGGAGGGAGGGCATGTGTTCAACCATATGAGTCAGGCAGAGCATGTGTGTGCTCTGCGTGTGCATGTGTGTGTGTGTGTGTGTGTAAACACACCTCTGTAGAGAATTCTTCTGTATGTGAATGTGCAGGAGAGGAAAATCCCACAAAAACTCCACACAATTGAACACAGTCAAAGGGTTAAAGCCCTGGCCTGTCTTCATAGCCCTTTTCCAAATCCCCACCGCTCCTGTGAACCCGCGCTAGGGCTCCTGGGCCTGTCTGGAACTGGGCTGAGATTGTCTAAAACAGACTTTTCTTTTATTCCCTGTTCCCAGATACTGGAGTAAACATGCACACACACACATACCCCTCCCAGATCACCTTCTCAAGGTGCCAGTCCAGGGGCTGAAATGCAAGGGTACTGCCCTCCCTCTTCCCCTCTCCCCTAGACCTAGCTTCCCACCCACTCCCCATGGGAGCATCCCATGTAGGGACAATGTGGGTATCTCACCTTCTAGCCCTGAGTCTAAAATAGCAAAGGCACCCCAAGTTTTGCCCCAGGACCAGGAGTTAGGACCCCAGCTCAGATCTGTGATACGGGCTGGGCAGCATCAAAGTTTCGAAGCCCTGCAAACTTACTCCACGGATAGAGAGGGGGCTTGGGGAGCCCAGTGCCAGAGATGCGTTCCTGCAGCACCACCCCCGTTGGGGAGGGGGCCAGTTAGGCACAGATCCCTGACCAGGTCCTGAGGGTTGATTCACCGTAACAGGTAGGGGTCCCCTCATGCCTCCCAGGACTGTTCTCATTGGGGGCTCTCAAAAGGCGGCAGACCGAGGTGGTCCAGGCCTTGGCAGGCGTTACCATGGTGACGGACAGGCTACAGGCGGGCAGCAGCTGCTCCTCTCCCGGGCGGTCCTCTGGTCGGTCTGTCCGGTGCAACCCCGGGTCACTCGCCTAGGACTGGAGCTAGCAGAGCGATCCGGCCAGGGGCGCGTTCCCCGGCCTCATCGCGGAGGG